CAGGCCATTGCTAATGGTCGCCGTAGAGGATACACCATACCCTTTTGTGGGATGGAGATTAGATGATACAGGACCCGAATGAGATCCGGAGCCATGTAGATGGGTCCTACAAGGCGTTGTTCGCCGGGCATCCCAGAGGGGGCATTGCCCTTGCAGATAAAATTTGGGTGGCCCAGCAACGGGTGTCTCTCGAGGAGAATGACGCCTTGCTCGTGCCATTTGATGTTGCAGAGGTAGAAACCTTCATTAAAGCAATGAACCCCGCCTCCGCACCAGGCCCTGATGGCCTGCCAGTTCGCTTTTTTCAAGTGTTCTGGTCCACCATCAAGGAGGATATCCTTGCCTTGTTCCTTGGATTTTCTAGAGGAACGCTAGATGTGTCGTGCCTGAACATGGGATCATCTCCCTGATTCCAAAGGTCCAAAGGGCATAGGATAATAGGCAGTTTTGCCTGATCAGGGTTCTCAATGTGATCTTTAGGATTCTGGCCAAAGGGTATGCCACTAGGGCGGCCCTGCTTGCTCCTCGGATACTTCATCCTAACCAGACGACGTTCACCAAAGGCCGATATATTTTGGATGGGATCCTCGTTCTACATGAGGTCATACATGAGGTCAAGCGAAAACACCTCCGTGTGGTGCTCTTTAAGATTGACTTTCATAAGGCGTACGATACGGTCCATTGGTCCTTCCTTCAGGAGGTGATGTCGAAGCGAGGCTTCGACCCCCATTGGATTGCACGTGTTATGCAGCTAGTAATGAGCGGACGCACGGCGATCAATATCAATGGGGAGGTTGGCCCCTATTTCCACATGGCTCAAGGGGTTCGACAGGGGGATCCACTACCCCTTCCTTTTCAACCTCTTAGTCGATGATTTAGCGGCGATCTTGGACTTAGCGAAGCGAGCTAGCCACATTAGAGGTATTTTTTCCCATCTCATTGGATATGGGGGACTCACCCACCTTCAGTACGCAGATGACACAATATTTATGGTCGAGGGCTCAGAAGAGAATATTCAGCATCTTAAGTTCCTCCTCCTATGCTTTCAAGAGATGTCGGGATTGACAATCAACTTTTGCGAAGAGCGAAGTGATGGTGTTAGGATAAACCGCGGAGGAGTCCCTCCGCATAGCCAATCGACTTAATTATTGACTTGGGTCATTCCCTACTACTTACCTCGACATGCCGATTGGTGATTCCCGCCTCCTGGAAAAGGACCTTCGCCCTATGGTGTCCAAGGTTCAACATAGAGTTGAACCATGGCAAGGGCGTTGGATTTCCAAGGCACCGAGGGTAGTCTTGATTAACTCTTTCTTGATTAGCCTATTGATGTATCTGATGGGGTTCTATAACTTGCACGAACCCCTCCACCAGGAGATTGCCAAGTACCTGCCTCGATTCTACTGGGCAGGGGAAGGCGATCGATAGAAATACCACATGGTCAAATGGTTGGAGATACGCAAGCCCAAAGACCAGGGCGGCCTTGGGGTCATCTCCTCCAAGCGGATGGATATCGCCCTACTTTCCAAGTGGCTGTGATGTATCGACACCGGTGGCGGTGGGCTTTGGCTTGAGATTATACGCGCAAAATATTTGCATGGGCAACCTCTAGCTTTCGCCCCTAGAATGGGTGGTTCCCAATTTTGGCAATCAATTGTACAACCGATGCTTGTTCTTCAGATAGGAACTTCGATTTTGTGTTGGGTCCAGCACCAAGACGTTGTTCTTTGTAGATAGGTGGTCGGGCACTCGACCGTTTGCGGAGCGCTTTTACTCGCTATTTAGTATTTGTACCCGCCCACAACTCACTGTGGGCGTGGCTTTGGAGGATCTTGGATGTATTGCCTTCCGGCATACATTTGGTCCACTCGAGCGGGATCAATGGGAGGAGATGCTGGAATCAATTTCCCTTCACTCCCCCACCCTCGAGCATCTCTTGGCATCTTGAGCCAAGTGGCAGGTTTTCGACCAAGTCTTTATACCACACCATTTTGGCCACCCCGGGTCCAACCGAACTAACTTTGCTTTGGGATATTAAGCTACCAATGTAGATTCGTATCTTCCTTTGGCAATGGGTACGTGGACGCTTACCCTCGGGTACAGAAGTGCTTAAACCAAGTGGTCCTAGTGATGCGCTATGCCCACTGTGTGGAGTTCCGGAAGACTCCAACCACATTTTCTTCCACTGCCCGGCGGCGATTTTCCTATGGAGTTGCTTCCGGGATGTGGTGGGAGGGATGTGGTGCCGTGACAATCTCACGGACATGTTTCGGGAGATTCTTAGCTTCCCATGCATGGTACGCCCTTCCCTTTGTGTGGCGATGGGCACCCTCGCATGGACTCTATGGAATGTGCGCAATAAGCTAGTGATTGAGCACGTGGTTCCCTACCGTGTGACTAATACTGTTTACAAAATGTGTAGCTTCTTACAGCTCTGGAGACCGCTTACCAAGCGGAGCGATCGGGATAGCATCGACATGATCATCGCGGACATCGCTCCACCGCTAGCTCCATTGCTCCACCAACACCTCCGCCTCCTCCGGAGCCAGATTAGCTAGTAGCTTTAGTTTATTTGCAGGGGTTTGTTGTGTTGTGCCCCCAACGGAACCTATTTAGTTCCTTTTTGCACTCTTTGCTTTCAGTTGAACCTTGAATCTTTCCTGTTGTCGGATGTTGGTGCATTGCTTTATAATATAAAGCGGGAGAACCCTTTTTCGTGTATATGTTTCTCCTTGCCTCCCCGTCACCTTAGGGCGGGCAAGTGTGACCACTCTCCAATCGTTCTAATGAATGGGATGGAGGCAAGCAGTAGAAAGATTATAATTGCCCGACCGTTTACATATGAGGTCATGTGGAGATGACATTAGGATTTGGGACAAATGCATTTTTGCCCTTAGTCAGAACCACCCCACGGTTTTTGCCCTTACTTTTTGGCTCTATTCAATTTTCCCTTAGATTTTTCCATGAGGTCGTCCGAGTGCCCTTTACCCGTTTGACCAATACTTTGAAAATTCATAACAAATTCATATGAACCCATAAAAATGAAAATAAGATATCAAAATGTTTAGAAATACATTTCCTTTATGTGCATGCCATTTGCATTAAGGAAAAAGTAATGTTTAAACTACCCAAGGTTATTAATGTTATTGAAATTATTCAAAAAATAGAAGGTATAAACAATACTTTTTCATGAATAAAAATTACATGCAAATGTAGGTAGTCTTTCTAAACATCTTGATATCTTATTTTCCTTTTTTTCTGAGTTAATATAACCTTGTTATGAATTTCCAAACGACTTTGATCATTATTTTGAAACTTCATAACAAGTTGATATGAATTCACAAAAATGCAAATAAGGTATCAGAATATTCAGAAAACATCACCCATTTTTGTTCGTGAAAAAAGTATTGTTTATACCTTTTATTTTTAATAATGTTGATAACATTAATAACATCAGGTTGTTTAAACAATACTTTTATCCTCAATGCAAATGACATGCACATAAAGGTATTGTCGTTCTGATCATTTTGATATCTTATTTCCATTTTTATGATTTCATATGAATTCTTTATGAATTTCCAAAGTATTGGTCAAACGGTCAAAGGGCATTAAATGACCTCCTAGGAAAAAATCTAAGGGCACAAGTGAGCAAAGCCGAAAAGTAAGGGCAAAACCCACGGCTGGCGGAACTAAGGGCAAAAGTGTAATTGTCCCTTAGGATTTAGCAGCTGTCCTGGAGCAAGCTTGGAAGAAGGGGTTGAACTGTTAAACTGTAGGGGGGGGGGATGTGAGAGAAAAGCTAGAACTGTTGAGAGAAAAGCTATTCTCTCATGCACGGGAGGTACCGTGTATGCATGCGCCGTTGATTCAATTGAAGATCTGAATGCATGCATGCAAGCCTCTCTCGTATACGTGTAGTAGTATATTTGCTATTCCCTGCATTAATATAGCTCAGTATAATGTCAGTCATCAATGCACTTTATGCCATACCATTCAATCTTTTCATCAACCGAACAGGAAAAGTCTTTGTAACTTGTAAGCACTGTTGATGAATTAATTTTTGGGATGTAAAGTTCTCTGTACTCTGTCAGTTGCCTTAGCAATAGGGTGGCATACTAAAATGAGCTTGAACGAAGATGTTACTTGTAATAATAATTAAACTTTGTATGAATTGCTAATAATTAATAATGGATGAACTATTTTTGAATGCAGACATGCATTGCAGGCTTCAGACTGAAGGGGTGTTTTCTGTATTTAAGAGGACTTGCCTTTTCTTTCAGGACATGATATCATGTGCATTTCGTTCAAAAGCTTTTCTGCTGTGCACTTGAAATAGATGGACGAGATTTGCACACAGAGCTATTCTATGGTGGGTGATGGGAAGAGGAAGAAGGCCTCTCTGGCAGCAATGGTGGAATAATGGTTCTGCACACAAAGCGTGCTGGACGGGCAGAAGGGGATGACATTTACGTTCTTGAGCTCAAAACAGTGTATTATATGTTCCCTATTAATGCGTATCTGACTAGGTTGGTGAAGTATTGTACAGAACACTGCCAAAAGAAAGCTTTAAAATAGTATAGGCTCAAATCCAGGCGGGCATCTCCGCGCGACAACGAACGGCTGAACCATGCACGGGAGGTCCCGTGCACGGTAGAAAATCCAGTCTCGAATTGACCGATTATTTGAAAAGGTGGCGTTCTTACTTGGGTCAGAAAAGAGTTGCATGAACTCAAGAAGCGATTGGGCCAAACTTGGGAGGGTGAAGTAGTGATCCATACGAAATTTAGATGCAATTCGACAGGAGAAAAGAATATGATGATTATTATTCCCTTCTCCTCATCACAAGTTCACCACAATCAAATGCTGATTCTTCTTCTTCATTACAGATCGGCTAATAAGCCACAACATTACTCTCTCTCTCTCTTTCAGAGTTCAGGCAATCAGACTCACTCTTATTCTACTACAGTACGTAGTACGTGCTCCGGCCTACATGCATGGCATCAGTCGTCCCACTTGAAGGCGACGGGGCTCCTGACCCGGTGCTTTCTGTTCTCCCAGGCGATGTGGCCGAACTCCCACGTGCCGGCCGGCCTCGCCTTCGCCCCCGCCTCGCTGCTGAACGGCACGCTGTAGCTCCTCTTCTCCTTCGGCCACCTGAACTCCAGCGTCGCCGGCGTCACGGTCACCTTCACCCCGTCGGGCGCCGCGACCGTCACGTTGTACCTCTCGGGGCGCGCCGACACCAAGGTCACCGTCCGCGTCAGCGTGCGGATGCGGCTGCGGCCGTCGAACACCACCACGAACGACGGGTGGTTCAGGTTGGCCACGCCGCCGGGGATCGTCCTCTCGCACTTGCTTAGCTCCGGCACGAACTGCCGCATCTGCTCCACCGTGTAGTTGAGTGTGCAGAGGAAGTCGACGTAGTCCTGCGTGCCGGCGTCGTACACCAGGCCCGGGTCCATGGCGAGCCGCGGGAGCACGAACCCGGCACCGGCCGCCAGCGGCGTCGCGCCCATGACGGCGGCGCCGACGGCACTGCCGCTGTCCACGATATCCCTGCCGTCCTTGTCGAGCGGGCTGGCGGTCGTTACCAGCGCCGAACGGATCATGGCCGGCGTCCAGTCGCCGTGCCGCTTCTTGATCAGGGCCGCCACGCCGGCCACGTGCGGGCACGCCATCGACGTCCCCGAGAGGATGTTGTACTCCACTCTCCGCGGGTCCATGACGGAGCCAGATGGCGAGGCGGCACCAGACCAGGCGGCAAGGATGTTCACTCCTGGCGCGATGACGTCCGGCTTGAGGATCTCGGGGACAATCGGGTTGGGGCCCCGCGAGGAGAAGCCCGCCACCATCGGCGCCCGGTTCTCGCCGGTGACCGTGACGCAGGTGAAGTTGAAGGACGCCACCGGGTACGCTACGGACGACATGTAATCGGCCAGCTTCTTGCCGCCGGTGGAGCTGAGCTGGAGACCGGGAAGGTTGAAGGGTTGGGCCTTCACCGCGTCCCCGAACCGTGTCCTACTATCGGCGGAAATCATCCCGGCTCCGCCGGCTCTCTCCACGTCAAAGCCGGCCCAAGCTCCTTCACCCTTGGAGCACACCACGACCTTGCCCATGACCCTGTCGGGCGTCAGGTCGCCGTACTTGCCGCAGTCGCTGCTCACTAGCGGGATCGTGCCCGCGCCCTGGGAGAACGGGATGTTGTACAGGGACTGCCCGGTGAGCACCACCCCGTTGCCGAGCCTGAGTGTCGCCGGGAACACCCGGTCCGTGGTGGCGGCGCCGACGGTGGTCATCCACGGGGCCACGTTGGTTATACTTGACGCTGTCGGGCCGTCGTTGCCGCCCGCCATGACGACGAAGACGCCTCTGCGCTCAGCGCCGAACGTGGCGACGGCGACGAGGTCGTCGTAGAAGGCTTCCACGGGGCCTCCGAGGGACATGGAGATGAGGTCCACGCCGTCGCTCACCGCGGCATCGATCGCCGCGGTAATGGCCGACAAGGAGCATCCGCCCCGGGTGCACGCCTTGTACATGGCGATCCTTGCCCTGCGAGCCACGCCGCTCGCTCTCCCGCCCGCGAACTTGAAGAGGTCCGTGCTCGCCCGCCCAGGGGACCTCGGAGCCTGCAGCCGTTGACGACACATGCGTTCCGTGCCCATCGATGTCCCTCGGACTCGAATCGGTGAGGCCACCGGCATCTAGCCCGTCTTCTGTGAGGAAGGACTTGGCGCCGACGAGCTTGTTGTTGCACAAGCTGGCGTTGAATCCCGGGGCGTTCACGCACTTGCCCCTCCAGGTGGACCTGACGGGGCTGAGCCCGGCGTCGCTGAAGCTGGCGCGCTCCGGCCAGATGCCGGTGTCGACGAAGCCGATGATGACGCCGTCGCCGAACTCGGCGTCTGGCCACGCGCCGAAGTCGTCGTGGAGGCCCATGAACCACGGCGACCTCGTGGTCTGGATGTGGTACAGCCTGTCCTTGTACACGCGGAACACGCCGGGGACGGTGGCCATGCGCTGGGCCTCGCCGTTGGTGAGACGAGCCGCAAAACCGTGCATGACGGTGCCGTAGGTGTACTGGATGCGGTTGGAGTTCTTGCCCAGCATGGACGCGTACCAGCGCTGGAGGGTGTCGAACTTGGACGGCTTGGCGAGGTGGTTGGTGAGGACGATGTAGGTGCTCGAGATGGAAGGACTAAACCTTAGCTGCTTGTGCTTCTTGGGCTTCGGGGTGACGGAGGAGTGTGTGGACTGGACAAGGAGGAGAAGTAGCAGGGAGCAGCGCAAGAGGATGGAGATCATGGAAGCCATTGTTGGATCGTGTGTGGAGTCGAGTGGTGGAGGAATGCATGCGAGTGGTGGGTTTTATAGAGCTTGAGTAGCCCAGCGTGACGCTACCGGACAAGGCATGCATGCGTGTTCAGATCAGCAAGAAAATGCATCGCCAAGAGATAATATTTGCATCATCAATTTTCTATCTATTTTTGATTTGAAGCTTGCATTACCATGTTTACCCTAAATATATCATCATGCGTGCATGGCGGCTCAGCTACAACTATTGGATGGTACTAGATGTGGATTTCTTCCGGACTAAACCTTAGCTAGTGGAAGCTAAATGCAGCCTCGAAACAAGAATTATTGAGTTTTGTTTTGCCAGGCAACAATGGTTGATTGATTTTTTATACACAAGTATTCGTGATGAAACGGCCTTCCAAGCCAAACAAGGAAGGATTGAAACGGCCTCCACTCTGCCCTTTTTTCTTTTCCTGAAACCTCAACTTGCCTTGTCTCCATGGAGTTGCACTAATTAAATACACAGAGCATGCAAGAGCACAGGCTTTCTGTTAACATTCTAGCTTTGTACACCGAGGGGCGAAACCAACTGCCTAATCTGTCACGCAATCGCGTATGCTGGCAGGCAAGGCTGTTCCACTACAAATCGAAACAAAGCAAACGTGTAAATAAAGATGTTCAGATGGGTAATTTTAGAACTAAATACAAGTACAAGCTACATTTACAGTTTCAAAGGTCTTGGAAGCCGATTTACAGAGTTATGTACGACCATTAGCAGGTTCTACTTTCGATTTATACTTTTGATTCGCCATCTAAGTTTTATCCAGGCTATACAGTAAAAGTGAATCGATCACATCTCTGAATTTGTTTCCACACAACATGTACAGTGCAAGTGCTACCAGCAAGAGTTACGCAAGAAGACGCTGCAGTGCAGTAGAGGTCTTCAGAAACTCAGGATAACCATGACTCCATGGTATAAAGTATAAACTACTGCGGCCGAAAGCAGCCTACAGACGGCTGGCCCTAGCCCCAAACTGAGTCTCCCGTAACTAAATAGCCAGATGCAAATTCATGATTCTCGCTGATCTTGCTACTTCCTGAGTTCCCGTCACACAAAATAAAGCTCTCATTGTACTGCAAGGGTATCAAATTCCATTTGTCATGATGATGCATCAGCGCCAAGTAACATACTCCCTCCGTCCTGAAATACTTGTCGGAGGAATGAATGTATCTAGACGTATTTTAGTTCTAAGATACATTCATTTTTATTCATTTCTCCGACAAGTATTTTTGGACGGAGGGAGTACATTACCTTGACAGCTAAAACATATTCCATGCTGATTACCTGTTACCCGTGACTCTGAGCAAGGGAAAGTGCGAAAAGATAGAACATGTAGACAAGTTCAGTTGCATATCTACACGAGGGCTATGAAATGCTGGCAGCAAGGCATACAGTTATCAGCAGCTAAATTTTACCATGATGTTGTACTAAATTTACTCTTTTAAAAGAACAAACTGTCATATGTGCATTGCTAGCTCCAATTGTGATTGACAAGCCATTAGGCATGCATAAAGTGTGCACTATCCTTGGTAAATACTCCCTCCGTCCCAAAATAAGTGTCTCAACCTTAGTACAACTTTATACTAAAGTTAGTACAAAGTTGAGACACTTATTTTAGGACGGAGGGAAGTAAAAGTTCCAGCACCAGACAATATTCAATGCATTGCCCCAGCCAAGAAGTAAAAAAAAAATAACAAAAACTCGGCCATCTAGTCTCATAGAATTCCTGAGTTGAGAAAGAAAAGGGATACATTAAAATGCAAATACTAGATAACACGATAGATATCAATATATCATCAAGCTGCAGACATAGGCAATAGGATATCATCAAGCTGCAGACATAGGCAATAGCATTAGCAGGTGCCTGAAAAACAAAATTCGTGATGAAACGGCCTTCCAAACGAAACCCGAAAAGAATGAAACGGTCTCCACTCTACCTTGTCTTTTCCTAAAACCAACTTGCCTTGTCTCCTTCGACTTGCACTAATTAAACACACATCACATGCATGCGCGCTGGCTTTCAGTTAACATTCTAGCTTTGTGCTATGAGGGATGAAACCAACTGCCTAATCTGCCAGAAATAGCACATGATAGCAGGCAAGGTTTTGTTCCTGTTTTCAGTCCCTAATCTGGAAACCAGATGGTGAAATCAATCATGCAAAACAAAGCCCTAAGTAAACACCACACTGTATTTGTAACAATGTGATTAAGCTACATTTACAGTAACAAGGTGATGAATTTATACAGCTACGTATGAGGTATGACTATTAGTAGGTTTCAACTTCTGTGCTACTTCTAATTTATACTCAAAATCTTGCCGAGTACCCTTCTGCCTTCTATGTTGGCCCTCTAACATTTATCCAGACTATATATTACTCCCTCCGTAAAGTTTTAGTGATCTAAACGCTCTTATATTTCTTTACAGAGGGAGTATAAGGGAACCAATCGATCATGTCTGTCTGAATTTGTTTTCCCACGTGGCAGGTTGTTAATAGCTCCATGGAACATGTACATGAGTGATGATCTGCAGTGCAAGTGCTACCAGCAAGAATTAGTACTCAAGAAGACGCTCTGCCTCCACTAGAGGTCTTCGCGGGATTCTCCCTCATCTTTGGTGCTTCCTGCCATGCAAAAATAGAACTCTCATTATACTGCAACAAGAGTACCAAATTCTCATGATGATGATGAGCACTAAGATGGGACTTCAGAATATACAAAGGCATTAAGGCATGCCACATGATTATTAATGAGCCACACATAAAAGCACGACCATTTGGATCTTCTTCTACTAAATTGCCTTCCATTGCCGATACTACTGACCTGCGATCAAGGGAAAAACTGGACATAAGAATGATAAAAGGTAAACAACCAGCTTCTGACATGATTATGCATCATATGCAAATGTAGACAAATTCAATTGTAAATCTTCAAGAGGTCCATGAAATGCTCATAATCACAACAAGACATATAGGGAATGGATATATATGTCAAAGAGCTGTACAAACCTACACAGTTGACAAGTACAGATTACATATACTTCTACCGAAACTGCCTTGCGTACGATACTTTTTCCATACGATTTTGTACGACAAGACACAGGCCCGTTTCCAACGTTTGGGCCCACTACACCAGAACAGTCTGCTCGTACGCAAAATCGTATGAAGTTTGATCGTACGTATAGCAGCGCTCTACTTCTACACAAGTTTATAGAGGTGATATACTCTATTAATAACTCTTTAAAATTGAATCAAAGTTAAGAGCATACCGTAATAAATGTACTGGCAGCTCCTATTGTGACTGACGGGGCATAAATGATGAAGTTGTAAAAAAACAATCGTAACACCCGGCAATCCAAAGCATTGCTCCAGCGGAGGCATAATGGTCAACTCAACCATCTAGTCTCCTATAAACAGTGTAGAATTCCATTGAGCTGGTTCCTTCAAGGAAACAAACCCTCATTGAGTTGAGGAAGAAAATAGTAATTTAAACTTAGATACTCAGACATGTAACAGGAGATACTATCAAGCTGCAGAGATAGACAATGGCAGGTGCCTGAAAAACAAAATGAGCATTCATGAAAATTCAGTTTTATGGAATGTAGCAAGAAATTATCTAATTTGATCAACTGTGTCAATGAACCACAGATGTCAATTACAAGCAGAAAATATCACTTACCAGTAACCCTTTCAGCATTCAGATTATATAGAGACTGAACATTTAAGTGCCTGGTTAGACTCCAAGTATAGTGGTCACAAAGAACATAAAGAAAATCTCTTAATGTTTCAGTAATCTCACCGCGAATGCGACTCGCTGAGCCTACATTACAAACTTCAATTGTTTCTCACCCAAGGAGAAACGACAAGTTGTCCTATGTACTATGACACATACACCATTGGAAGATTCTGAAATCTTGAACTTTTTTAGGTGCATAATTTAATAACTTCTTGAACTGAAACTGTAGGGGAGGTCTCAACGGTAAATTTTATTAAGGGTCGACAAGATCCTGAAATCATGAAGTTTTTAGGTGCACATTTCGTAACTTTTTTCAACTGAAACGGCAGTAGAGGCCCTGACCGTAAATTTTATAATTTGGTAACTCTGCTAAAAACTCATCAATTCCATGCGAGAGTGAGACAGATTCAGAATGCATCTTGATAGCATGCTTAGTGTCATCTCCTAAACGGCCATAGTATACAAGCCCAAATGCTCCTTCTCCAATGAAACTTTAGAACTTATTCATAAACTTCTCCAGGTCAAAGTGGTGTGAACCGGAAATTCGTATTATTTTGCAGGTGGTTCGCATGAAAAGTTTCTGACCTTTTCCACTCTGGGAGGATCTTGTGTAGA